TATCCATGGCGTGTATGCCCCGTGGTGCTTTGGCTCGATTAGCACGTAGGCGGAGAATCGAACGCCGCGTTACTCACCAGCAATGTTCCAGAGATGGAGTGGATATAGCGCTCCGCGTCCTTTGGAAGTTGTTACTGTCAATTTGAGCACGACTCAACCGCGCATGTACGTACCGATAGCTCTAAGCCCTGTAACTTATCAGTGCCGTCTCCATGTTCAGCAAACGCAGACGACGAACGAAATAAGCATCGAGATATGCAGTCGCTAATATCGACCGCTGGCATAGCGAATATATCTCTTGTAGCGGGATCAAGTCTAGTTTGGAACCAGCTCAAGAAAATTCGAGCTCGCAGTTAAACAAAATGTACTTGCCGTCGTGGAATACGGTGGCATAAAGGCCGCTCGACTCTGACACCCCATAAACTTGAAGAAATTCGGGTGCCTGGGGCTCACAGATAAGTTTGAGTGTTCGCAGTACGGTAAAAGAAACTCACCGCACGTTTGAATACCTATCAACGTCTCTACGCCATTCCTGAGTAGGGTTCATGAGGCGTCTACTCCGAAACGTTGCGGGGAAATCACCTCTTCCGCATTATGTCCCTGGTACACAGCAGCGGTCATGTCCGACTTGCGTCCATTAACCCGAGCGGAGTAGGTGCGTCTGCTCAAGGGCGCGATCAAAAGACCGGTAACTGACCCTCTCGCATCTCCTCTGGTGACCGGGCGCGACTTGTCCGACTGTATCTCATTCAGTAAGTCCAAATCCCCCAGTGGGATTGTTCGGAAGAAGTCTGTGTACAGGCGTTCATCAGCAGGAAGCGGCTGTTGGGTATTCAAACACACACCTCCGGAGACGAGCGCCCTCTTGCTGTGCATGTAGGTGACATTGCTGGTGAATTGCCCACCCTTGACAACGAACTGCTGCGCGTTCGGGAAGAAATCAGAGCTAGAGCGCCTGTATTGTGTCGTCGGCGGCCTGTAGGACGAGATAAACACATCCGACGCACGGCGTCATAGAGCGAGAGGCGGGATCTCCTTTGAGTTTACGCCGGCCCATGAAGGTAGGAAGACAAGACGCACGCCTATCTATATCCTCGCATCGAAAAAGGGCGCTCCGCTGTACGTGATACCTGCCCGAGCCTGTGCGACGCACGTCAGGAGACTTGACAGCGTTTCTCCGCGAGAGAGATACGAATTGAGTTCAGTACACAGCCAAGGGAGACAATCATCAAGCAGCACTGCAAGGTCATCTCGTGGTTCATCATCGGCCCGAGAGCTTGAAGGCGTAGCAAGTTTGCATCCAGTTCGCCGTTCTCAAGTAAGTGAATTTCAGCGCGAAGTTTGGTGAGATCCTTTGGTAGACTGTGAGTGGCCCTTGCGAGCTTGAGTCGATGTACCAGACCAGTGTCGCAAGATCGACCAGAAACAAGCGAAAGAAACAGCAAACAAAGAGACCCCGGATGCTCCACAGACCGCCAACTATGGGCTCACGTTAAGCTCGCGGCCAGAGGCAAGGACAGTCAAACGTTGCGGGGGTGCGTCGTCGTGGTTCGGAACAAATAGACGTCAACGGTCCGATCAATAATCACACGCTCACGAGACTCGTCAACAACGCGTCGCGTCGGGATCCGCGTTCTCGCCGCTGTACTGAATTCCTTCCGCGCGTTCGTGTTCCATCTACCAAAAATATGTTGCATATACGGGACGCACGATCGGTGGTAAGCGAGGGGAAGGGCTGATTGCAGCTCAGTTGTAGGTCTTTGGCGGACTTGGTTGCGGGGAAGCTGCAGAGAGTTGTTTTCTCAGCAGAAGTAGCGAGATTGAACGCGGGTTGTAAGCTTACCTGGCGGGCTTGACATGGGTCTTCACCGTCGGAGGCACCACCGCAGAGCAGTCGACTAGCTTGGCGCGGTCCTGACCAAGGAGGCCCAGTTTAGCCATTGCCGCCTTGAAACTCGACGCCATATGGTCTTGTTGGTCTGTCGCTGCGTCGGAACGAGTCGGATAAATAATGGAAACACACGCACTGACGAATCCTTGCCAATAGCAAGCTGTACGCGGAACATGCGCTATAGCGAAATCGGATTGGAGGCGGAGCTCCCCGGTATCATTCCCGCTGCCGCGCGGGAGTGGGGATGAGACCTCACCAGAGTTCGGGGAACTGCCATTCCCAGTCTGTCCGGGGACCCACGCCCTGGAGGAGCATTTCGAGGAAGACTTGCGTGTCGTAGACGAATGGGGTGGAGTCGAACGGCGCGGCGTCGAGGTTGGGGTCGACGTGATCGGCGCGGGCGATGGAATGCGCGGAGAGGAGGGCGACGACTTCGAACGGGGAGAAGTTCCCGGCGTCGGCAAAGCGAGCCACTGCGTTCAGACCCCCCGTAGACATAGGGTAGGTCTACGTTGGGCTACATGTGTCTACGTGAGTCTACGTGGGTCTACGTGGGTCTACGGGGTCGTGTAGACTCAGGTGCTCCTACGTTGGGTTACGTGGGACTACGTGACGTAGACCGACCCTTGGCTACGTTCGGCCGCACGTGTAGACCGAGGTAGACCCACCCTCCGTTCCCTTCTTCCACCGCTCAAAATTGTAAATTCTGTCTGGCCGCATGTATCAGTGCCCGTGCTCTCGTGGGTCTACGTAGGTCTACATGGGTCTACATTGAAAACTAATGTAGATCTGCGTAGCCTCACCTGCGTCTACGTCGTGTAGACCCATGTAGACCCATGTAGACTCACAAGTCGGTCTACGCTATCGTCTACGCCTGTAGACCGACCCTGTGTCTACCCTGGGTCTACGAGGGGTCTGAACGCAGTGAGCGAGGATCTTGGTGACGCTGTCCTCCGGTACCTGCATGCAGCGGGGCGGTTAGTGACATTTGGGCGATGAGGCTGGATACGAACTGGGATCAAACCATCGATGGCAGCGAATGTTTTGTTTGGACGGCCAGCCATAAATTCCAACTGCGGGGCGCCCTGTGCAAGTGTGAGTCATTGAGACATGACCGCTGGCGCATTCCCTACCGGGCAGTTGCTCAGGGCTACCGCGCCTACGATTTGTGTTTGACAACTGATATTGGCTCTTGGTTGGGCACGTACCCGCAAATTGAACAAGATCACGAGCGCTAACGTTGTACTTGTGCAAAAATGGGAGCAAGTTCTGAACGCTGCCCTCGACTCCCTCGCTGGCGTTGAAGTTGGGTTCCACCTGAATACGTGTGAGTGTTCTCTTCAGTCATGGAGTGAGCTATGGCTTACGTCTGGGAATAACAGCATGCTACCATCGGCACCTCCCCCACTGCGGGCAGTTGAGCTAGGATTACCGCGGAAGTACACGTGAAACCTACGCCGAAGGATTCTTCTGGCTGATCGCGATGGAGTCGTCTGCGGGAACATTCAACTCGGGGTGAGGCTTGACCACTTTCACTTACGGAAGACGAGACGGATAACCTCGTGTGCGTCTTCCCCGCATTCGTTGTCGAAGAGGTTCTCTTGGAGGTCTTTCGCAAGCTGACGAGTGAATGTTCTTTAGTGGCAACGGTGCGATTGACTCGAAAGACATACAGGGATGAACGGGCAACAGGCGGTGTTGCCGACGCGGGTACCGTCGGGGCAAATCGTTCCTTGGGCGGGGACTGCGCGTACAGAGGCGGAAAGTGCAAAAAAGGGGAGGAAGAAAATGAACGCCATGGAGAAATGAAAGGAGGAAAGCGTGTTGCACCTTGCGAACTTTTCCGTCGGATTTTATACCTCAGGCGGACTTGTTTTCAACCGAGTGCAGTGTATTCCCACTTCTCGGGTCCATGAAAACTGAATCGATGTGTTTATTTCGGTCGGTATTCACTGATGGCAGACTCACATATTTAAAGGGAGTTCGAAAATAGAGTAAATGGACGGCCCACACCTGCTGAGGCCGAAGATTGATACCGACCTGGTGCCGAAGTTACGCTGTGGAAAGTCCGTCAACGGGAGGGAGTCGCACGGAATTCGGCAGCTGAACGTGAAGGTGGTATCTTACACGGGAAATGGATGTACAACTAGAGGACGACGGGGATCATTCATGCTGGATTCCGAGGGCTACCCCCACAGTATCTTCTTCTTCCTGTTGGACAAACCGGAGTCAATGAAAGTTAGGACGCGGAGTTGGGCCCTCACCTTTTGTTTCGTCCCACGAGACGAAGCTGTTGTTATGAGTGCTGATGCAACGGTAACTTGCAATAGGAAAACCTGGGACTCCGGGAGTGCCGCAGCGACGTCTTGGGAGGCCGTTGGACTATGTTTCAGAGTGATTGAATGTCCGGGTCGGCACCGAGTGTCACTGCCCCACTGCACACGGCGAGCAAGGTGCCGGCGTCCAGGCCGAACTTAGGTTCCCGCAGAACTTGGCAGATCCGCGGCGAGGACAGCAACGCAGATTGAAAACAACGGAATCCGAGTTGGTGGGAATTTTAACGCCGGTCTGACTTGAGAATAATGCTAGTATTGGAGTTTGGGACGCAACCGCCGAGCTCCGAGGTTCAGTCCGAGATTTGAAGCAAAGGGGGACCAAACTCTGCCAGTGGTCAGCATTCAACGGACTACTGTGCGTCGAGCCACCTGTGTCACTTCCCCTTGAATAAACGAATCCCGTCGTGGGCTCGTTCGAAGGGCGTGCGTGCCCGCATACCTGTCCTGTCTCGTTTCAAGTACCACAAGTAGATCCCATTCTTCAAGTTGACCACGGGACCACGGGACCAGCCTGATCCAACGATCGCCGGGGAAAGGAATCGCTGTGACTGTGAGGAAGAAGGTGAAAACTGATGCGATCATGCCATCGTTCCGTTTATTCGCACGCTCGGCGAGGCGGTTGAATTCTGCTCGAAATATAGATTTCAGGCACCTCACTTGCAAAGCCTTTGCTATTTAAGCCATTTTCGAGTGGGGGCCGTCAGAGTTGACCTTTCTGAGAGGATTTAGGTGCATCCCGCCGCCGTGTGCGCGACTGAACGAAGCGTTACATTGACCCCTTGGCTCAGTGGTAGAGCGTCGCATTCCAGTCTCTGTGGCTGTCGCGAAGGCCGTCCGTTCAATCCGGGCAGGGGTCATCGTTTTGCTCCCCTCTCCTTCTGAATCGCTTAGCTGGCGGACCGCATGGAGAAAAATGAAGTGACTCACAGACTTCTTGTTCGCAAGTAGTTCCCTTCCGTCACCTGTACCCAGCGTCTTCAACAATGCGTCCGTTCCTGGTCTTAGGCAGGTATCCTTCCCCTCGAAGCTCACCCTGAGATTCACCGCGCCCGATTCCTCCACTTCTTCTAAAACAGCCTGGCTTTGATGGCATCACTAGCAGACAGTAGGCGCCGGGCGCTTAGGAAACAGGGTTGAAATTATGGATAACCTGTGTTCAAGCGCCTCCCTGGATTTAATTTGACACAGATGCGCTGATTTTTTGCAGCTTATGAGCTGAAGGCGAGTGAAAAAGAACCCGAATCGTTCTAGATTACTCAGCGCGATCTTCCCGGGGTGGCGAAACATCCGGCGCCGCTGGGAGTTTAAATGCACAGGGTGGCTTCTTCAACGGTATCTCCCACTCGCTAGAAACGTTGGCTCTACGCTGGAACTATAATGGCTCTACTCCTGAATCAAGTCAAGGTCTGTCAGCGCGCCGGTTCAAATTTCGGTTCATAATGTGTACTAAACGCTTTCCTTGCACAGGAGACGGTCCTTGAATCTGCAACAAATCGGCCGGGACTGACTGGGGGGGTGGCGACGTCGATCCTCGCCATCTGCTTCCTCACCCTCGCCGCCTGTTGGAACCGATATCGCCGCGCCTCGAGTCACCGAAAGATACTTGCAGAAGAGAGTTCCTGTGGGTTGAGTTTTTGCCCTCGTGCGGCCGTATTGCAACTAACCTACATGTGCTGCAAGAGGATCGACTGGATACACGGCCGTATTCTCGGCCCATGTCTTCCCAAACAAATTGCCGTGAACGCACAACGGATCTCAACCCGTGTGGCAGCAACTCCCCCCCTTCCAAATCCCTGCTCGCCCTTTCCTCTCCTTCCCATCCGCACTGCAAGAGAACCGTATGGAAGACTTGTGCAATTTGCCTTCCTTCCTTCTCGTCCGCAGCTCCGTCGATCCCGCACGGAAACAGGCGCCTTAATCTCACGCCGTGCCTCCGCAATGCTATGCGAGTCAGCAGATCTTCCGCCCAGGAACTGTAAGGCTGTTCAGTTGCAACGGAATCAAGAGTCGGCGCTCACTCTACAGCCGTCTACAGCTTGCCTTGGGTTAGACGGAAGGCTGTTGTCAATTTGAGTGATCATCAGGACGCGCTGGGACAGATAATGAATTGAACACTGTTCTGGTAGTACGGCATGCGTTCGGATCGCCACGATATTTAGCGCCGTCTCTTGAGCTGTTACACGCACATCGCCGCTTCGTGTATTTAAGGGGAATTAAATAAGTCGCGCTTCACTAAGTTTAGTTCTCCGTTTAATGCGGGCCGAAACAAGATCTGATTTAAAACCTGCCGAAATCCAACCCGACATCTGATTTTTAAAAACATGTTTAAAACCTGACAAAATTCCAGCTTTCACTGCACCTTTAAGCAACACATAAACACATTGAGAAATTGATGTCCCTGAAATGAGCTTTGAAACTTGGAATTTAAAGCCCCGCAGAATCCTTATTTATACACCACATTTAAAATCACATTAAAGACCACTTAAATGAGAGCTTAAACGTACAGATGGCTCAGTTGGCTCTCATTTAAGTGATCTTCAAATGCGACTTTAAATATGGTGTATAAATAAGGATTTTGCGGGGCTTTAAATTCCAAGTTTCAAAGCTCATTTCAAGGACATTGATTTTCTCAATGTGTTTATGTGTTGCTTAAAGGTGCAGTGAAAGCTGGAATTTTGTCAGGTTTTAAACATGTTTTTAAAAATCAGATGTCGGGTTGGATTTCGGCAGGTTTTAAATCAGATCTTGTTTCGGCCCGCATTAAACGGAAAACTAAACTTAGTGAAGCGCGACTTATTTAATTCCCCTTAAAACACACGAAGCGACGATGTGACGACGGAAGATAATGTGGAAGCCGCTTGGACGACGGCCGAGGGCAGATTGGGTGGCGAGAGGAAGAGGTCAGCTGGAATGCAGAGACATAATGTAACAGCTATCTACCTCGAAGTGGTTCGAGCAAGATCTTTAACACTGGGCGCTTCAGTCCCAGTCCTGCCAAGTGCTATTTCCTCGCCGGGGCCTAGTTGGGCCTAGTAGGCGCTCAGCTAATTGCCGTATGTTTGTCGCGATGTCAAGTCTCCACCTTTCCTCACACACCATACAATGTCAAGCGCGAGCCCGAATTTCGACGGGACGGTCTGCACGGCGGACCAGCTAGCGAAGGCGGGGGCGGAGGGGTTTTATTGCTACACACGGAGGCAGAATGTCGGGCTTGTGGTGCGTATCGTTGGATGGAAGCTTCCGCGGCTGGATGACCCACCAGTCAGAATAGGTTGTCTGTTTGGCGGGATTCATGTCGCTCGCTGCGGTGCTGACCATGTTCAGCCTCGTCTTGGTTCGTATCTCCGCAAGTGATAATCCTCCCCCGCTAACGGAAATGCCGCATAGAGGAACGTTCTCCGCCAGCGAAAACTCCCAAAGCACCAAAGGCTGCCGCTCGTCCAAGTACCAATGGACATCTTGATTGTCAGTTCCGCTTTCAGCTATGCACTCGGGTGACTCACTAGTTGGTATTGAAGCTCTCATTATTCCTCGGGGATTTGTGCCAGTCGTTGGGCGTTGTGATGGATGCACACTGGATCAACGAGGGTATTGTACACGTTGGGAGACTTTGTACCGCGCAAGGCAAGCACATTTTCGTATACAATGTCACCCCATCTGCATTCAGCTAACCCACCTGCTTGAAGGGCTCCTACAGAATGTCGGGCAGGCGGCGATTGCAATGACGACTTTTGTAAGTCTGTTCGAACCAGCTCGAAATAGGACGGGTGTTGAGTGAACTGCAGATAATTACACTACACACCTTCGACAGCATCTGGCGCCACGGAGGTGTGTCTTTGAAATGGGCAGGAATCCTCGTTGGCACGATGTGGACCTTCCTGGTGTTGACTGTCGGCATTTCGACCGCCGTCCACCGCTCGCCGTCGTTCTACGCCCCCACACCAGTAAGCCGCACATCATTATCATGAATCAATGAATTTTAACGCACGAACAATAGTACTGGTGTTGGATCAACAGCGACTACCCCAAATACCGCATCGCGGTCGAGAATTTCTGGCTCTGGATCGGTTTCGCCGTCGCCGTCTTGTACATTCCGCTCTTGTTCTGGGACACGGGCCGCCTCGAGCCTGGGGACCCCGAGTGGTGGACGTTCAAGCTGAACCGCGTACCCCTACCGCGCCCGAGCCAGCGCTCCAAGTTCATCATGTACGCGCTGCACCCTGTATCTCGTCCGCTTACCCGTCATTAACAAACCTTTACGACAGCTGCGCCTTGGCGTACTGCTTCCCCGTCCTGCCGACGAGTTTGGCGCGCTGGTTCCTGGTGGTGCACGGCGACGTGAAGCCCTTTGCGACCGCGGAGGCGCAGTTTATCGTCAAGGGCATCTTCAGCTTGAGTGGGATCTTCGATTTCATTGCCTTCAAGCTCGCCCGCCCAGGGCTGCTTCTGTTTGCCGCGGGCGAGGGTGCTGCGGGGCGCGCGTCGCCTGGAGCTGGGGGGTCGGAGTCTGACATCAGTTTGGAGGATCTTGGACCGAGTCGCAGGGGGAAGGATGCAGCTCAGCCGGCGAAGCGAGGGTGGCGGGTACCAAGTGAGTATATATCCGCGACGTTGTTTCGATTAAGCTGACGTATCGTCGAAGTCCTGGTGTTTTTGTGGCTCTCCGTCAATGGCCTTTATGCTGTTTGGGTTACTTATTGTGTGTATTGGGAACGCCGATACACATATGAATACTAACCTCTGTTCGAATAGATATCCGGTCGGCGACGGATCCGAATCCGAGGACAGTAGCGAATAAGCACCATGGGGGTTGGCAGGTCTATTATTTACTCAGTGCGTTTTTTCGTGAGTGAGTATAGGTCTGACCTGATTAGCATTCTTCCAGTGTATGTGTTCGGGTTCTTCTTGGGCTGCGTCAACATCGTGGTGTGGATTTGGCTCCTTCAGACGTGGGTCCCGCTGGAGCGAACACACCCTGGACGTTCGAATGTGTTCCGCTACTCGATGCGAGGTGGCCGCTTCCTGCTCCTCATCCCTCTGGCGGTCTTCATGGGCCTTGCGCCGTTTTTCGCGCCCGTGGTTGGAGTCAAGGAAGCGCAAAGGGTACGCGTCATCCTTTTGGGATCGTCGAAGATATTCAATGACCTTTATCTCCAAAGCAAGCCTACTTACATCGCTGCGACCCCTTCGCGGTCGAAGTTGTACTCGAGGGCCTCCCGTACAACGCGGCGACGGATAGGAACCCTGTGGCGACATTTTCCTTCCGCGAAAACGGCGTGCTGCAGGAACGCTATCAGTACAATCTTACCAGTGACGCAAAAAACAACCTGCTTTGGCACTTTGTGTTGTCGTCGCAGTCTCCCGAGTCCGTCGCCCCCGTCCAGCAGGTCACCTACGATTTTGGGAATTCCACGATATCTGCGACCTGCCCGGGAAACCTAACCGAATGCACGCAAGGGTCGTTTGAAGAGTCGGGGTACCTCACCTTCTCGCTCACGGATTCTCGCAACTCCAACACTACCAGCCTTCGCGCGGTCGACAACGACTGGGACTACGGAAAATCCGATGACGCGCCGAGTTATATCCTGAAGGAAGTTCAGTCCGGCGGAGAGCTCGGGGGAGTGATGGTTCGCACCGCGGTAACCAATCCACACCACTGCAGGCTTTTGAAGCTGTGTGCGAACAATGCTGATGTCGAAACGCTGGCTCCAGTTGGCCTCACGCTGCTGAAACAGAACGATTATTCGAGGGTTTGTAGTACGCCAAACAGTAACTGAGCTTTTGAATGAAACTTGTTGGTATTTCGCCCTTGTGAGTTGGTACCAGCGAGAGTTTGGGACAAGCCGGACGCGCGGTC